AGATGGGTGGGTGAGGGGGGGGGGGTGGGGAGGGAAGGCCCATAGAAATAAACTAATTTCCTCAAGCTTGAAAGTCTTTTTACCCAAGGGCCTGGTCTTTGGGGTCATAACAGTTTTAACACTATATATTAGCAATAATCTGAGTCTCAGTTTCCTCATTTATAATAGGGGATAATAATATACTGAAATGTATTATTATTATAGCAGCTTATAGAATATCATATCATATGTTATATTATACTTTTGTTTTATTCTATAATAAAATATATCTGTGCCATTTATCAGCACACATAGAACAAAGGAGGAATCAATATCACCATCATCATTATCACTGACCCAAAATGACAAAGCCTAGACCTTATGCTTTTAACTCCCTGCCACACAAATGACTTGTGTGTGTGGAGAGGGTCAAGTACACACATCTAGCTCCAGGGCTTCCCAGGCCCACCTCCCAAGTTGGATCAGAAAAACCCATTGAAAAGGTTTACCAACCAAACATTCATTAAACAGTAAACAGTACAATATGAGACCTAGTTAGTTATTGCATTCTTGACCTAGATTTGTGTTTATAGAACTTAAATAGATTTATGTACTTTGGAAGAGCTGATCCCATGGGCAACCCTCAAAAAGGATGGCTGTTTATAATTACTTTCAAGCAGATCTGACGGCTACCTTTTGGATGGTTTCTTGATGAATGACTTATAGAAAGAGAGCCTAAGTAAAGTTAGAAGGTTGGAATAATTTAGAAGTCAAATTATGGGCCCTAATGAGGTTAACCTAACCTTCACACATAAAGATAACACCTAATGAGAAAAAGGTAACCATGAGTGTGTGAAAGCGAGACTATAATATAATGTTTTTGATAAATTTTAAGTTAAACACATTTATTTGAGCTCCATAGAAAGTTAGGGTAATAAAACAAAGGAGTCATTAATGATGATGTATATATGGAAGTAAATTGCATGGGAGAAAAGGAAAGGGCTTAAAGGAGAGCGGGTGTGGGTATTATAAAATATGAATAAGAAAGAACTCCTGAAACTACCTAAAATTTACAGTTTCTTTGGAGTTACAATTCTGTTTGTTCCTCTATTATCTCCAAAAATAAAGAAGCCTTAAAGAAACTTGCAAAATGAAACATGCAAAAATGCTGCTTCACTAATTTTTAAAAGAGATAAGTATTCTGGATTTCTTAAGGAAGTCAAAACCCCATGAAAAAGTGATAAAAATGTACTTCTCATATGGAAAATAGGGATTGTGCCATTTATAACAATCACTTTCTTGCTTTTTTTCAATTAGTGCTGATTATATAGTGAATGTTTTCAATATTCTTCCAAACATCATGAATGGTAGCAGGATATTTCATGATATGGCTGCACTAGATAATGGCCATTTATTTTTGCTTTATTAATTTTTTCTGCCCCTCAACATTCACTTATATCTTCCTCAATTTTCCTCTGGAGAATCCATGGCCTTTGTGTGATGCTGACTCCACTCATGACTTCAAGTTCAGAGTACTTGACCCATGATTGAGCCATAACATCTCCCTGATCTCAGGAATTAGACTGAGTGTGGGCAGCACCACCCTCAAATTGCAGGAAGAGGGGCAAGGAATACAGGGTCAAGGAGAAAGCTCCTACCTGTACCCATGTCCCCTTCCACACTGTTTCTAGGAGAAATAACACCCATGAGCAAGGGAGCATGGGGGCTGTGTGCTCCTTGAGGCCGGGGCCTTGGTCTTATTCATATGTGATCTTCACTCCCAACCCAGGGACGGGCACAGAGCATGCAGGTGGGACTGCCAGCTGCAGCTGTGCCATTGGACATCCCCATGTGGAATGGGATGAAGCTTAAACAGGTTGGATGGAAGGAGAAGTCAGATCCAGTACTTAGAGTTCTTTTCTCTTGAAACAATGTTCAATAGACTTGAGAAAAAGCAGGAAGGGAAGGAACCTGGCTGATATTTGAGTCATTGTTTTCTACTTTGAAAAAGAAATCAACAAAAAGTAATACCCAGAACATGGATTAAGCCTCATAGTTTATGAAATGCTGTCAGGACATTATCCACTTTCAGCCTCAAAACAACACTGTTGGATAGAAATATTTACTATGCCTCACATTGTGGATGCAAACGTTGAGACATGGGGGAATTAAGAACATGGTTCAGGGTCATGCAAACAGCAAGTTGCGAATGTGACCATCAGGTGGGAGTTTCCAGTGCTCACAGACCTGCATCAAATCAGCATGTGCCCACTGGGTCTGGATTGATCTCCCTGCCTGCTTTTCTCAGTTTCTTCTCCTCATGCCCACATGCCCTAGAAAGAAGATGAGGGCCCCATTTATACAACTCTGGGCTCTTTCCACCGAGCAAGGAACAAGGCTAACACAGTTCGTTGCATAAACACCAGTGGCAAGTGACAGTGATTTACACCGACCTGCAAATTTCTGATGACCAACCAGCCGCCTGCTATGTCAACAGGTACAAACTGAGATTTAAACCAGTTTACACGGGGCAGTAAATAACTTAATTTCTCCTCAACACGATGCTTGCGGCGCTTGCAAATGTAAATGTTTAAGCCATAAAATGACGCCGACGCTGTGATGCAAGCTTCCAGTTTCTCAATTCATTGGAAAAGTTGTGTCAATGAATGCCCCTTGTGTGCTCCCACCTGGAGTGGAGATGCAGGGTGGGGCAGAAGTCCCACAGTTCTGAGGGGAGTCTCATTGGGCCCAAGAGCTAGAAACAATCCTGCCACCCTTAGTTCTTCCTGGTCCTGAGACTTTTCTCCCCCACTCAATTATTCTTCACCGCACTGCTCTGCAGACACCTGAATGGGGTGCATGTGTGTGAAAATGGAGGCAAGGAGACAGGAGGAAGCAGCCTCAAGCTCGCTGTCATACCATCCTCACTGACCAGGGCACTCACTGCCTGTCAATATGTGCCTATGCAAATTGACCTAGATCCTATGCAAATCATATGCAAATGTATTTTCCATTGTCAAAAACTGTTGACTATACCTGCCAGAGTCCACTGAACCAGAGTGCTGCCTTCTGTGAATTTTTCATCAGAATTATTTATAGTATTCTATTCAACCTGGCTCTTGCCTCCTCAAACTGGGAGGACAAGGAGTGGGATTGCCTCTCCCCCTCTCACAGGTGAGTCTGATGGGGATTTTCCTGCCGTGGAAAATCCACCCCACATTAAGAAAACTGGGTATTGCCTTGGCCAGTATGCTCAGTGGTTAGAGTGTAGGCCCACACACCAAAAAGTCACGGGTTCGATTCCCGGTCAAGGGCATGTATCTGAGTTGTAGGTTTGATCCCTGGCCCAGGTTAGGGCGCATGAAGGGAGCAATCAATCACTGTGTCTCTCTCACATTAATGTTTCTCTCTCTCTCGTCCTCTCTTTCTCTCCTCCCCTCCCTTCTTCCCTTCTGCTCTCTAAAAAAAACAAAAACAAAAACAAAACAAAACAAAACAAAACTTTAAAAAAATACCTACTATAGTCAGACTTCTAATAAAGTCCTGGGTAAGAAATAAATTTGATTTTCTCCTGTATTGGCTTAATTTATAATAGCGAAAGAATAGCTACTATTTACTGAGTACAAGGAGTTTCTTTTTCTGAAAGTTTTCTGTTTGTTTAGAAAACGGTTCTTTTTCTGAAATCACTTATTGAGCAATTGACACAAGGCAGGCACTGGGCTGGACATGTGTTATCTTGTTTAATCCTAACCCAACAGTGTGATATGGGCAGTATCCTCAATTTCCAAAGAAAGTTAAGTAACTCGATTGCGTTTGGTCAGCTGATAAAAAGGGTGGTGACTGGGACTTGGGTCCCAGCATGACTGTCTTCAAAGCCCTCCCTCTTCAACATGCTGGGAGCTTTTGTGTTTTGGTCGCCACGCTGTCAGATGACAGGCGCTAGGCTTCGGGGTCTCAAAATGTGTTCACAAGAGCCCAGGAAGAAAAAAGCAGAGAGGCTATGACAATACTAATTGCTAATACGTATTGACTTTTATGCTCTAAAATTAAATTTACTGAACCTTATGTTTTATACATATTAATCTAGTCCCCATATAGATATTATTACCTCTATCCTCATTTTATAGAGGAGAAAGACTAAGGCACAGAAAAAAACAAACAAAACAACTTCCCTGCATCACACAGCAAATAAGTATCTAAACTGGGGAGTGGCCCAGGCAGTTTCTCTCAGAGTCTCAACCATAAGCCCTAACTGTCCTGATGAGGATGTTCCCACACACAGAATGACACTTGGGAAGCTCCTAACACTTACTTTAAAGCAGTGGTTCTCAACCTTCTGGCCCTTTAAATACAGTTCCTCATGTTGTGACCCAACCATAAAATTATTTTTGTTGCTACTTCATAACTGTAATGTTGCTACTGTTATGAATCGTAATGTAAATATCTGATATGCAGAATGGTCTTAGGTGACCCCTGTGAAAGGGTCGTTCGACTGCCAAAGGGGTGGAGACCCACAGATTGAGAACCGCTGCTTTAAAGAAAGCGATCATTAGGGCAGAGATTCTTTTCAAAAGCTCCCAGGTGGCCCTAGCAGGTTTGGCTCAGTGGACAGAGTGTTGGCCTGCGGACTGAAGGGTCCTCGGTTTGATTCTGGCCAAGGGCACATGCCCAGGTTGCGGGCTTGATCCCCAGTGTGGGCAGGCAGGAGGCAGCCAATCGATGATTCTCAACACTGATGTTTTTATCTCTCTCCCTTCTTTTCTGAAATCAATAAAAATATATATTTAAAAAAAAGCACCCAGTTGAAACTCTATGGGATCTCCTATGGGAAAAAATATATCTTCAGAAAGCACACCTGGTCAACCTGCCTGTCATAATTACACAAACAAACAAAATAAGCACTGGACAACTCAGAAGCTCTTACTACTACTCCCAAAACAATGGTCTGGGATTTACAGGAGGGAACAGGAGCAAGGTATGGGGTAGAGAGAACTGCGAAGACCAGAGGTGATCCAACTTACTTCCTGACTTTACTTTCTGCACTTTCCACCACGTAGTAGCCAGGTTTGCATTCGTATCTGCAGGCGGAGCCCACGTCATGGTGGCCTTGGAGGCAGTGCGGCAGGAGCAGGTTGGCGTTGGGAATCGCAGGGGGAGTGTCACACTCCAACTTGCAGTAGGCTTCGGGGAAAGACCAGAGCCCATCTTCAAGGCAGGTCAGCCACGGGCTGAGTCCTGACTCCAGGAAAGAGAAGCACAGGTGGTCAGAACAGAGAGTGCAGAAACACCACAGCAGAAAGAACCAAAACCTGTCAATGTATTGGCATTCTTGGAAAGGACATTATTCTTTGTTGGGCTACTTCACTGAAAACTTGGGACAAGTGTTTATCCTATATGTCTTACCCACAGAACATCCAATGTGACCTATTATAGAGAATGGAAGTCAGATAACTATTCCCTAACAGAATCATGGGAAGCATTATAATAATAATAATGGATTACCTTCCTATAGTGCTTATTATAAGCTAGTCATTGCTCTAAGCATTTTATAGGTAGTAATTCATGTAAACTTCAAACCTCAAGAACCCTATGAAATTGATCTCATTATTATTCCCTAATTTAGGGATGAGGAAATTGGGTTTAGGTAACTTGCCTGAACTAGTAAGACACAGAGGCAGGGACTGAACTCAGGCTGTTTGGCTGCAAAGTTCTGTGCTTAAACACTACACCATGTGCCTACTAGAAGGCACGGTTTCTCCAAGTTGCAATCCATGGACTTCTCATGGTCCCATCACCAGACCATCCCTGACCTTCTACATCAGAACCTGTTAGCACGGGGCTCAGGGAGCTGCATTTGTAACAAGCCATTGTTAGGCACAGGGAAGTGTAGGAAGAGGTAAGGAGCAGGTGTGGGGTCAGTTAGAGCCGGTTTTCCTCCCTGTCTTCATCTGTGACTAGCAGTAGAGCCAGGAACAAATCCTGTAACTGCGTTCTCATCTATGAACCAGAACTAAAAGCATCATACCCATAGGATGGTTGTAAATATTAAATTTTAAAATATGTATGAAAAAGTGTAGCTTTCTCCTTAATATTATCAGGACACTGCTGGTTGACTTGACTCCAGAGGACATACAATCGAATAAAAATAGAAGAACGCCTTAGTTTCTCTCTGTAAGGAGATCCTGAGCCAGGGATCCTTCCAGGTCATTGGAAAGAGTGATGTTGCCTTTGGGGACTTTGCTGGTGTTATCAGAAGAGGGTGGTCCAGCAGAGCAGATAGGAAGAGGATTGGGGTGAAGGGACGATCCTCAAAGTACCCCCAAGGAGAGAAGGACTGAAGGGACCCTGCACATAGGGCCTGGTTGGCTGAACAATACCTTGCAGCTTGGCTGGTGGGACACAGGAAATGGAGCATCGTTGCAGAAAGCTGGTTCCCTCTGGGCAGGAGAAGGTTGCATAATTCACCAGAGCTGGGTCTGGAAGGCCACAATCAAGGGGCATACACCTCACTGTCCGGTCCCAGTGCCCTGAGGAGCACGTGAGCAGAATGTCCTTCTAGAAACAGAGAATTTTCCTCTGTCAAGGTCACATCAAAACGTTTATCAGAAGATCTTCCTGGTGATTATTTGTGCAGACATTCAAAAGAGGTACAAATCGTTTTGCCTTTCTCCCTTTTTATGCCTTATTGTATTAACACATAGCCTCCCAACCTGATGCTGATGGAAGGCACCTGTTGTGTAAGAGAACCACTGAATGGGGATGCTCCGCCAGGCCAGCTGTGGGCTGCCCTCTACATATGTCTCCTGCTCCGCACTCCACCCTCCCCCACTGGCCCCTGTGCATCTCAGGCCTCTGACCAGGACACACTGGCAGGAGATTAGTGAGGGAGGAGGGAAAGAGAGGTCAAGGTGCTGATTCTTCTCCCTCCCTAGAGGGTTGCTGCAGATTTGCTCCACCCTTCAGCAGCCCTCTCTGCACAGCTCCTGTGCTCTCTTCCTGCGGGTTCTCTAACTGCTCCCTACAGTCAACCTTCCAGGCCTTGGGTGATAACAGCCCCTTCCCCCTGGGGACTGCACTGTCCCTCTGTACTTTCCCTATACCCTGCTGCTACCTTTGCAATTAATTAATCCCTTTCTTAAATCCTTTGAAATTGCCCACTTCTGAGCATGTCATCTGTTTCCTGCTGGGACCCTTACTGATAAGGCAACTGATAAAGCTACTGAACATTGTCATCTTAGTTGAGGATGGTGCACAGTATCTAAGAACAGTTGAGAATTAATATTATCAGGACACTTCTCTGATAATTCCTATCAGGCACTTTCCAAACCTTGTGGTTCAACTTCAAAGGTTCCAGCCATCTCCTTGGGCATCGGCTCTGCAGGGTAGCCCTAGAGTTTATCATCCCCAAGTAAATGAAGAGACACTGACTGAGGGCCTGGAAGGCCAGGCTCTGTGCTAGATTTGGGTAAAAACACCCTCAAGGATCATAATCTACCAGCAAAGCAAATTATAGGTTGGTCCGGTGGCTCAGAAAACACCTGAAGGAGAAAGAATGGAAAGGAGAGAGAGAAAGGGAGAGAGGGAGGTACGGAAGGAAAATGGGAGATATGCTTTTATTGCTTATATCCTACCCCCTTCCAAGATGAATCGAGAGAATATAACGCAAAGAATGCAAATAGTGAAAGAAGTAGGAAATGGGGATCATAAAGAAAGGAAATATAATATATAAAAACGACAGCAATGTCATATATACGGACTTGTTCTATGGTGGTGAGGCAGCACAAAGGGGTGAGAGGAGGGACTGCCCAATCCTTGGGAAAGAGGAACAGTGTGCTGAGGGAGGTGACACAGGAACTGGCCTTTGAGCTATGAGCTGGACTTCCCAGCGGCAGAGGGGAAGAGGGAGAAGAAAGTGTTCGGAGTGAGAGGAGCAGACTGAACAGAGCCTGAGAGACCTGGGAGCTCAGGGCATGTTTGAAAAAAACAACACACAACACAGCTGACACTCTAGCCAAAGGGTTACCAAAGGCCAAAGAGAGCGAGTGGGAGAGATGATTCTGGGGCTCAGCCAGGAGCCAGCAGTGGCCAAAGCCAGAGGTAAAATGACTAGTGAAAGCACCTGTCACCCCTGACACCCACTCCTGGCTACCAGCTCTGCCCTGCTTTCCCAATGTTTCCCTGTTGCCTGCCAGGAGGACCCAATTCAAAGCCAGACACATTTTTCTATTTAGTTTCAGTTCTTGTGTCAACAAAAAGCAAATATCCCCACTGTCTTGTGATCACGAGCTGGGATTGTATCATTTCCACAGTGGGGCCGGCCTGGGTAGGGGGTTGGGGGTGGGAGTGGGCAGGAGAGGCTGGCTGGAGAGCTGACTCCACCATATGGTCGGTGAAGGGTGAGCTCCCAACTCAGATGCTGTCCCTTACACCCTACAACCTGGACGTCTGGCTCAAACCACAATGATCATTTAAAGAATGTCTCCCAAACTCTGCATATATTGCCTTGGTTTTTCTCCTGGCTTCATTAAGGACTGTCTATGTTTGTTTTGAATTTGCTCTTAATTTTAATAACTTGCAAAGCCTGTCTTCTCTTCTCTCCCCTTCCTTACCTATCACAAAAATTTATCCAATCTTTGCATCTTTTTTGTTGTTGTTGTTCATTTTTTCTCTTTTCTAGAGCAAGTTAAGCTGGGTTAAGAATGTGTGGGTGATAAGAGCATCATATCACCAAAGCATCATACACCAAGGATAGTCTCAAGGTATATTGAAACTGTTTCTCTCTATGCAGATCCTAAACCACCTGAAGCCAATGACTATGTCTCTAAATTCTGACTGTCCCTAAGCAAGTGAATTCTCCATTGACCCACAACCTGCTGGCAGTCAACTGGTACAAAATAAAAAGTCCTTTCTTCCAAACCATTGAAATCTGACTGCCAGTCACACTCCCACCCTTTCCTCATCATACCGAATCTAGCTGGGTCTCTCCTAGAGCACTATTATCTTTGGCCTACTGCCTCCTTTCTCTATCTCATATTATGGTTATGTCTTAATGGGCGATTTCAAGGTTAAATTGCTCTGCAGAGTACCAAAAGCTCTCTAAAGAAAAAGTGGAAAACACGATTTTTTATTGAGAAGACAGCATCATGCTCATAATAATGGTAGCTTAATGGAGTGCTCTGTGCCTATAATTCTGCTAGCAGCTTTAAAACTATTTCCAATCAGTCATCAGAATAACAAAATGACATAAAGTCTTCTGTCCTAATTATTTTAAAAATGTGAGAACAAGCTTAAAGAGGTTAGTTCCTTTTGTTTGTTGATTTTTACCTAAAATTACACATCTATTAAACAGTGGAGCCAAAATTTCATTCCAGATCTGTCTCCCAAGCCATGCTCTTACCTCCAAGTCACCTTGAAATCCTGGAAAGGGAGATGTGGTAGCTTGTAGAAATTTGGACAATTCCATCAAGGCTAGGATCATGACATAATGCCCACACCAGGAACTGAGGGAAGGAAATCAGCTCTTTTTCTCCAGCCTTCTTGTAAGAGGACTGGGGGGGTCAGACCATGAACCACAGGTAAGTGGCTGCCCCCATCTTGCCTGCATACTGTGGACAAGGCTCAACTGTGGCATCTCATCTTGAAGGTCAAAGAAGAGGGAGAAGAATGGTCCTACCTACTGCCCATCTGGAGAGAAACTGACACCCAGGTAATGGGAACAACACTGGCTCTTAGACACCTGCACTTCTGTAAAGCCTTGCTTCACCTGGCTTGCTGGAGTCATCTTTCCTTTCACCTGATCGACAAGCACCTGCCCTTCCTTGATGGGGCCAGGGAGAGGAACATGAAGACCTTTTCTCCCCAGGAATTTGGTCCTGATAACCACGGGTTCCCACTCACCTGCATGGGCCTGAGGTACTGCCCACTGCTGGCCTGAAGGGCAAACCCCCTTTGGCAGGTGACAGCGCACTTCATGTGACCTGGCCCCCCAGAGGTACAGTTCACCACATCCGTGTGCTCCAGCAGCAGTGGCGCACAGCTGCTCTGCTCCCCACAGGGCCGATGGACACAGCTGGGGTGACAGAAAGAGAAGCATCTTAGACCAGCAAGATATTTTCTTGCTCTCGGTGCTGTTGGCAGTGATGCTAAATATTAGCCAAAATGATTACAGTGAATTTCGTCATCATCAATTTGCCTTATTTTTCCTTGAGTTGTATTAGTGTTCAGTGACTTTTTTTAAGAAGGTGGAAAATAAAATGTCTTGGCTATGCACATACTGCCTTGAAATAATTGAGAATTGATTTTAAAAGCACTGGTCCAAAAGAGATGAATTTGATTTGAATGTGCTAAAGTTGCTGCTTGTGATCCTATGCCCATGGGACTGAAGTTATATGGCAGTGACATTCTCACTTCTTTTACCTATGCTTTTCAGGTATAGGGTGAATGGATTGGAGTTGTGTGATGTAAAGAAAGCCTTTAAGCCCTGGTTATTCCCTGCAATGCTGTGGTACACCTCAGACACTCCATGAAGCCCCAACAGAGGGAGAACTAAATGAGTTTGGGGAAGGGGTTATTAATTGTCAGCAGCCATTTCCCCAACCCAACCCTAATAATTGCACAGGTAGTACAGGAAATACATCTTTGCCTCTGAGTCTCTATTCAACCTCTCAGGATAAGGTATCTGAAACCTGACTGTCCATGGGACCAGATCGGAACACCTCATTAGTGATGCTAAAGAACTCCAAGTTCCATAGATGCTACATGCCCCGATGTCCACAAAACGTATTTCTTCAATGTGTTAAGTGGAAAGTACTGGAAAACAGAGTCATTAATGGTTGTGGTTCATGTCAGCTTTCTGCCAAGAAATTAATGTGAAATAGCATGTGCTATTTTTCAACAACTCCATCCAATTATGCCATGTCATCATTGAGGACAAATCGGTGCTGAGATACGACACAAAACAAACCCTGTGAATGAGCTTCCTTCCACCAGGATGGGGTTCCATTAACTATGGTTGCTATAACTACCAGTGGGCAAAGTCTGTCCAGCATTGGCAGACGGGAGGAAGAGTGAGACAGGGGAGCACAGACCAGGGGGAAAGTGACATGAAATAAAACCAAGACCAAAAAAATAAAAACCACCAAACCCAGACCTGTTTATGAAGTGAGAAATGGTTTTAGGGCAGCTGCTGCAGATTCTTTCACTAGTTTATATTTCCATGTGCTTCCTTTTTAAGGAATTTGTTTTATGGGGACGGTGTTTGTCAGGTCGTTAGCTTCTGATGGCATCTGGTACCAATTGTAGACTTTTCTCCCTCACACCTCAACCCCAAAGCCCTTCTGTATTTCTCTTCCACTACAAACACCGCTCTTCTGAGCGAAGATGTGTTCTCTGTTTTCCTACCACCAGCGCATGCTCCTCTCCACCTAATGCTACATAAACTCCAATATCATAAAGATAATGCAACTAGTAAAAAATAGTCTTTAAAATTTCTCAAAAGCATTCTTCTTAGGGTCTTTGGACATGTGTTAATGACAGGGACAACCATGAAACCTTACAATGCCCCAGAGAGGGGGGAAGTTTGGTATTTATCTTGGTCTGACATGCAAGAAAACTAAAGCTGTTTGGAGACTGGCTGGAGGCCACACAGCGAGTCGGAGGAAAATCCTTGGGCTGGAGCTCAGAGCCCTCACTCTGGGGCCAGCCTAGACCACGAGGCCATCTCCCTGGGGTGAGGCTGCTTCCCTGTTGCTTTCTTCTCAATTCAAAAGCTAGCAGCACAGGCCAGGTGAGCCAAGGAGCTCCTCAGTAGGGCCGCCAGGGGGAAAGTATAGAATATTTAACAGTACACCTCCCTTTTGAGCAGTTTTCTCTTAAATGAGAGCAAATGGAATTGGCCACATTTGCCCAGCAGCCGTGGACTGCAGGGTGTCCTGCTCAGTGTGTTTCCTCCTTTGGCAATAGAGCCTCAACCTTCCACCCACTTTTTCCAGATCTTTCCTCACACCTCATCACAACGTGTTCTTAGGTAAGCACATGATGATCCCAGTCAGATGTGATTCACAGGTATTTCCATTTTAACAGGAGACAAAGTTTTAAGCCAAAGGAATGAGTTTCTCATGATGGAATTGTGAGTCAGGAGGGCCTTAGAAATCACACTCCTCTGTAGTCGGCCACCTACCGTGATCCTAGCTTTGCTTTTGGCCTCTCCACTTCTCTGGATAAGCTTCTACTCTCTCTTCTGTCCTCACTCCCCGAAGTCATTATATGTGAGGGTTTAAAAATTGCTTTCAACTGAAGAATCCCTGTTTCAAATGTATTTAACCCTAGGCTGTCCTGCTCTTGAACATCAGCTGCTTGTGGTCATCCAGGCCTAAACCCAGTACTGTCCTGCCTTGATGATCAGTGGTTTTCCTTTGTTGGTTGGGTCTGTGAGTGACACCTGTCCTTGGGAAGCCTTTGGTGGCACAGTTCCATGAAGGGGTGACTTTTGTATGCCATGAGGCAGGCTTTGTCAACCATAGTTTTACATTTCACTCAGGAAATGTTAAAAAATATATAGATGCCCAGACTTTGTCCCCTGGAGGTTTTCATTCTATAGGCCTGTGGTGGGATCCTGGCATCCATGAGTTTTTTCTTTTAGACTTTTGATGCTCACCAGGAGTGAAATGCAGCACCAGAAAGGCCTGAATATGTGTAACCCGAAAGATGTCAATAAATCTATAGGCCAAGACTATAAAATGACAGGGCTGATTCCAGGAGAAACTGGCCCCACTGCTCAACCATTATGCTCTCATGTATTGAGCACAAAATATCACATAGAGGCCATCAGATAGATCAAAAGCAGAAGACATTCCCCTGCTCTGAAGAAACTTTCAATATAGCAGGAGAGAGAAAATAATTAAACTATGTGTTATTGATTATACATTCATGGCCATTCCAGAGAACATTTTATCTTGGATAGGATTTGACATCAATGAATGGATAGGATTGGGGAAAGCCTGAGAGATAATACCCTGAAATGTTACCTCTGATGCCGTACAGACAGAACACAGGGCAAGACAGTGCTCTCAAAACCTAGGCAAAATCACCATTTCCTCCTTACCACTGAGAACTGATGGGTTTTTGTGGGTTTGTTTGTTTGTTTGTTTGTTTTTACTGAAGAAAATTCAATATGTGTGGGTCTCTTAAATTTTGGCTAACGAACTTGGAGAATTTATACTGAAGGAAGTCAACATCTAATTTAAAGATAGACTAAAAGCACGTTCCTAAAGTTCTCCCCTGCCGTCCAGGGGTGGGTGAGGAACAGGGTGAGGCACCAGAAAGCAGGTAATATTCTCTGCAGAAGGAGTGGACAGACCCACTAACAAACCTGTCTTGAGCTGTCCCCCAGGACATGCCAAACCAGGCAAGTTTTTTCAGTTTTCCATCCCCTGAGGCCACTAGAGAGAAGTTGGCATAGCTTTCAGCCAAGGCCCACATTTGGGAAGCTGGGTAATTCCTATGAATGGTCAAAGTGCTGGCTGTTCTGTCCACATCTTCACAGCTTTGGCCCAAGGTTCTCCTTAGGAGCTGTGCCACCCTTGAAGTTCAGGAGGCTATGACAATATTCCAGAGTAAATCATAATCAAGCTACATTTCTCCCAGGTGAGGACTGATGGGAGATTATGAACTAAAGAGCCCATTTCTTAAATATAACTGCTGGGGGTGGGGGGAGTAATGTTCAGCAATGATCTTAAAGGAACCATACCATGTTTAAATTTAAATGGACCTTAAAGGCAAGTCAACCCAAATTCCTCTTTTTAAAGATAAAGAAACTGAGAGCAAAAGAAATGATGAGCTATTCTAGATCTTTTTACTGCACTGAGACTACAATATAATAACAAACAAGCATTTAATTAAACTTCGGCTCAAAATCAGGATGACATCAGCTTATGAAATTTTTCTAGTCAATATCCTGCCCTCCCTCAGGCAGCCAGAGAAAGCTGACCACAATTTGATGTCTGGACTCTAGGCTAGCTTAGAAGAAACCAGCTGGCATCTGCACCACACTTTTTAAGGAAGAGCATGGTATGATGCAGAAAGCAGCAAACCTATGTGAGCTGAGGTCAGGTCTTGGCTTGTTGGTGCTTATCTCTATGACCTTGGGTAAATCTCTTAACTACTCTGGCCCTCTGTCTGCAAATTTGTAAAATGACAGGGTTGAACTAGGTTCTCTTGAAGGTCCCTTCCAGCTCTAGCATGGTATTTAATTTCATAGATGAGGTGATGGTGGTATTGGGGTGGGAGTACAGAAAACCATGAGTGGGCAGGATGTGGTGGAGAACCCAAGAGGGAGTTTCGCACGATCTTTCTTGCCCAGTGTAAGTTTCTACTCAATGTCCCTACTTTTCAGTTGTTTAGTTGAACACAAGATTGCAATTCCTTTATCCAAAAAGTGCCACCATTGACCAAAGAGCTGTGCCAGTAGTTTCGGTAGAAACAGCCCTTTTAAAGTTAAATAGTAAAAGAGGATCAGATGTCTCTCCATTCCCCCACTGTGTTTTACTGATTCTTATTGAAATAAGAGGGTGTGGGCTAAGAAGGAATGTATGCTCTGGATTTGGCAGCAGATGGTGGACAGAATGTGGAGTGGACTGGAAGAGACCAAGTCCTCATTAATCTTCTCACCCCCAACAGCAAAACCAAATAATAATGATAGCATCCATCCTTAGAGAGCTTTGCTGCTTCTCCAAACCAGTGCAAAAGGAGATGGCCTCTGCTCTGGTTTCCCATTCTGCCTCCTCCTTACTCTGGCCCTGTCTTTGTGTAGGACAGGGACTATCGGCCTCCTTGGGTAGTACAATGCTGGTACTTTGAGGAGTCTCACTCAAGGATCGTACCAACTGGGAAGGGAAAATTAATTCAAGTTCTTTGAAGATTCTCATCTGAGAGCAACAGAAGACTCTCAGTAGGAGCTCTCAGTCTTCCCTCATGACTGAGAAATGATGAATTTATTGCACAAAGCAGACTTCTCTTTTCATTCCTGTATCCCAGGAAAAGTGGAGGTTTCTCCTGCCTCTGTTGAAGTCT